GCATCCCCCAAGGGCTGCATTCCCCACCCTTGGAGGCCAGCAGTCCCCTGGGTCAAAGGGGATTCTTTTCAGGCAGCTTTGGCTGTGCCATCTTATTCTACCCTTTCTTGACAGTCAGGGCTTGTGACATCTCCAAGTGTGCATGTGCTTCTGATGACAAGTGTGCTCTCCGGAGTCTACACACATGCCTGGGCACACATTTGTGGGTGCAGCTAAGCAGATCTGGGCACCCCTTTCGGCCCCCAAAGAATTAGCTGGGTGAAGTCCACGGGGGCAGCTGGCCGGCAAATTACACGCAACCCTTTCATAGAGCACATTTGTTCTGTGTGGGAGCTGAGGAGAGTGTTGGCTGCAGTGAGCAGGAATTCCTCCCTCACCTAGTGGGCGCCATAAATATATCCCCGTCTGTGGCTGGAAAAAAAAAAAAAATATATATATATATATATATGTATATAAACACGCTATCGGTCAAGGTTTGCAGGCAATGCTGGGTTCCTCCTGGCTGTGGGAGCCTCCCCTCCTGAACACTGCTGAAGAGGTAGCATCCTCTCCAAACACATACTGTACAGACAGCAGCAGGAGAGGAGTGGGACTGGAGGGAGACACCCGTCAGGGGAGCCCAGAAGCAGGAGCCCAGAACCATAAAGGAAGGCCCTGGCGGGTAGAGGTTCAGGGGGTGAGAAGCCAGAGTCTGCATGGGGTCAAGGGCAGCACTGGGGGGCTTTGTAACTGTCTGGGGATACCGAGGGACCTGAGGGAGGGAGGGGCCCATGCTGGCTACTGTCAGCAGGGCTTGGCGGTGCTCTGGGCACTGCCTGACACCTCCAGTCCACCAGCCATTGATGTAGTGGAGTGACCCATGGTGCTGGTGGATGGGGAGCCCAGAGCCAAATCCCGTGTCAGAGGCTTATTCTGCAGAGTCCATTTGGGCCCTGCCCAGAGTCCAGATTTATCAACTGCCCCTTCAGATCCCTCCTTTCTATCAGCCTACGGGGTAGCCACAACCTCTGGCAGGGGTGCCTGTGCCTTAGAGGCGTGAATTGCCTGAGCAGCCCAGGTCCCCAGAGAAGGACCATCAGCAGAGCTGTGTACTATGTGACACAAACCAGCCTGACCACCCCCCACCTAACAACACTGAAAATGAGATTCTCTCCCTCCCAAAAGCTGGCCTAAGGTAGGGACCCAGATGTCTGCTTATCCAGGCATCTGTCAGACACAGTGGCAGCTGCACTTGATGGGTGGAGTGGGAGGCATCGTAGAGCTGGGAGGAGACCTGCGCTCCTCAGCACTAGGACCCCGGGGCCATTGGATTGTCTTGGGTCCAGAGTGGTGGGGGGATCCTCTATCCCATCTCCTCCCTCTGCAGGAAGTGGTGGGAGCTCTGGTCTTTGAAGAGGGTGGGTACAGGGCGGGGTTGGGGTTTCTTCCCCTCCTTAATCAGAGTGGCCTTGAACTGGGGGTGTGCAGTTGGGGACCCCTCTCCTCTCCTCTGGCAGCCAGGCCAGAGAGAAGGTCCAGGTGGAAAAGGTGCCAGGGATGTGGCCCCAGAAGCCTGGGGACCCGGAGAGAGCCTCTGGGTGTGAGCTGTTTGGGAGAGGATAAGAGAGGGAGCCAGCACCTGCCTGCCTTGTGCCAGCCAATACCATCCCTGCTTCTCCACTGGCCCACAGGCCACCAGCTGGCCCATTGTCCCCGGTGAGAAAGCAGACCCTGGGAGGGGGGCTCTGTGTGGGCAGGGACTCACTCATGCACGTGTGCCTGGCAGGGACTGTCAGGGAAGAGCCACCCTGGGCTGGGGGCAAGGAAGGAGGAAGGGGGGGTGGCAGGGACATGGATCGGATCGGAGAATCGAATGGTGGAGGCACAACCAGAGTCAGGGAGGCAGCCCTCCACCTCCAGAGTGGAGAACGGAGCCCCGCTGTGCTCCATCAGGTCCCCTCCTGTGCTGTTGGCAGTGGGCAGTGTGCGGGGCCTGTGAACAAGAGATAAAGAGTTCAGGCAGAGTGTTTTTTCTCACTAACCGTGGATTTGTGTGTTTGTTCAGCTGGTGGCTCTGATAAGCCCTATTCTGCCAGATAAAAGCCAAGCAGCCATGAGGGGGGCCTGGGGAGGGGCGTCATAAAGGGGCCTCCTCCTCTGTGTCCGGAATCCCCGGGTCATCCCCTCCCCTAGGGAGCCCAAACAAAAAGGGGTCAAGGTGCAGGCTGCTGCGTAGTGTGCCTCCCTGGGCACAGCTCCTGGTACCTGGGGTCTGTCCAGAGCAGGCAGCCCTTTCTCCCACCCTAGGAGAAGCCGGCCCGCTGGCTCCCTCGTCTCGAGGGGCAGAATGTCCCCTCGTCTTCCTCGGAGCCAGACCGCCATGGGCCCAGTGATTGTCTGGGCCCTGCAGCCACCGATTGGGTCCCTGTGAACTCCCTGCCCTGTCTGTCTGAGGCACGTCCCTGAGCTGAGGTTCACATCCCTTCCTGTCCCAGCGTGGCCATGACTCTGTCGGGCAGTGGTCCACATTTGATCAACCAGTAGAGTCCTTGGGCTTGGATGTGGCCCACTTGGGCTTCATCAGCCCTTGAGCAGAGCAGTGGTGTCCCCAGGACCCTGTCCTCCCTCCCTGCCTCTTCCACCGTCTGTGCCAGGAGGGTGAGGGCTGCGGCTGGAGCAGACCAGCCGGGTCCTGGCCATAGCTGCCCCGGCTGCAGGGCTGGCTCCTCCACCTCAGAGCGCGGGTCCAGCTTTCTAGTGCCTTTGCCTTTTGTCCTGACGCCGAGCTGAGCATGTCGGGCCTGGCGGGGGCGGCATTGTGGGGACGCTGGCGAGGCCACCGGCTGGGCCGCCGGCTGTAAGATGGCTGCCAAAGCCTAAGATGGCTGCCAGCAGCGCCCGGAGCAGCGCCTGGAGGCGCGTGGCGTGGCTGGGCGGCCTCGCCTTCCCTCCACTTGCTGCTTAACAGTGGCTAATGGTGACGACCTGGAGTGCCCTTTGGGGGCAGTGTCCTGTGCCGCAGGGGTCCCTCCTGCCTGTCACGCTCTCTGCCTGGGGCTGGCGCACCTCCACCCCTTTGTCAGGCGCTCTCATCCCTGGCTGGGCCTGTGCACACGGCCTCGGGCAGTGTGTGCACAGCCTCCCTTCCTCACCTTTGCAGTGGGCCAGCAGCGCTCCCATGGGTGGACTCTGAGGCCGCCTACCCCACCGACTGGGCCCGGAGGCCTTGGTGGGATGGAGCTGGCCCCAGGGCTCATGGCTCACGGCTGGGTTGGGCAGCAGGGTCAGGGCCACATGCTCCCTGCTGGACTCTGCATGCCAGTTCTGAGGCATGTGCCCTTTCCTGAGGTCCGCAGTGAGGGAATCTTATAGCAGGGAGGCCCTGGCGTGGGCCACCTGCCGCCCTGGCGTGGGCCACCTGCCACCTAGGTCGCTCAGCTCCCTCCTGGACAGGCTAGGGATCCGGGGATGGGCCAAGATGAGAAAGTTCACCCCTTGTGACACTAGGGCACAGAGAGGTTGCCCTGCCAGGAAGGTCTTGTGGCTCCCTCCACAGTGGAGAGTGCCACCAGCCAAGATATGGCCCCAGTCAGGATCCACTGTCTCTATCTGCAGGCAAAAAGCGAGGTGTTAAGCCAGAGTCAGGCACTTCCCTTACAATGTTTCCTTGATTTGTTAGAACAAAGTTTATTATTATTTTTTGAAATTAAAAAAAGAAATGGAGCAAGGTAAAGGATGGGGAGAATGAGGCCCCAAACAGTCACCCTTTTCCACACACATCACCTCAAGGCAGGGAGCCAGGAGCGGTGGCCAGAACTCCCAGCTCCAGACATGGCAGGGCCTTCACTCTGAGAGCAGGGCCGCGGCAGCAGGCTGCTGTTGTGCATGCCAGCCCAGCGCCCAGCCCTCTCCCTATGCCTCTGGGGACAGCAGACTGAGTGCAGGTTGTGGGGAGGCCCAGGGGGCAGGGTCACTCTGAAGAGTTGAACAGAGCCCTGGCCAGCACCACAGCCCGTTCAGATGCCACCACACCACCGGCCTTGCAAGCAGCCGATTCTTTACCAAGCGCCTGCCTTCTTCCTGCCCCACAACCTGCCCCACCACCCTGGCACCCTCTTGCCAGCTGTCGTGTCCAGGCAGGCATTCTGGAGGTCCCCGTTGTGTCCCTGGCACACAAAGCCTTGAGGACCTGGGGCGGGGGTGGGGGGCTTTCCCAAGCTCAGCAAAATATTCTCACACACACACACACACACACACACACACACACACACACATGCACTCCACCCTGCCCCCAGCCCTCTGTGAGCTCCACTGCACAATGAGCCCTTGTCTTGGGGCTCCCTCTGAGCAGCTGTGGCACTGGGGCATGAGACAGCCTAGACAGGCTGGCACAGAGCGGGTGGTGGCAGGGCAGACCTCCCGCTCAGGGTTGCCAGGCTCTGCTTGCAAGCACAAAGGTGAGGTGGGGGAGGTGCGGGCCCATAGGACTGGCTTCAACTGATGAGGTTAGGGGCGAGCATACTCCTCAGGACCCTTGGGTCCGCCACAGCCACAGATGGCCCTGCTTGCTGGCTTCTCTCCTGGGCACCTCCTTGCTTCTAACTCTTAGCTAGTGCCATTCACCCATGGGTGACTTTGTTCCTCAGGGGACATTGGGCAGTATCTAGAGACAGTTTGGGTTGTTACTGTTGGGGGCTACTGGCATCTAGCATGGAGGCCAAGGGTGCTGCTAAATACCCTGTAATGTACAAGATGCCCCCTTCCACCCCACCCACCCCATGGAGAATGATCCAGCCCAAATATCAGTAGGTTGTCAATAGGCAGAGAAACCTGCACTGGGCTAGAGCTATTTGTCCTTCCCTCTGCTGGTCTCCCTGGGCTGGCTGGGGAGAGGGCACTGGGTGAAGTTGTCTGCTGGCCAGGGTGGGCCACCCTCCCCGTAGAGCTTGAGGGCAGCTGCTGAACTGCAGTTGGTGCAAAGCTTTGCCCCTGACCCATGCTCCCCTTTGTGTCTCCTGCAGAATCCGGACAATCAGATAGTTCAAACCAGCAAGGAGATGCGGACATCAAACCACTGCCCAACGGTCAGTGTTCCCTGCCCACCACGCCCCACCCCCTGCTCATTGCTGCCCCACCCTCTGGCCTGGCCGACTGGGATTCTCCTTCCCTCAACCATCCTTTGACTGAACTTGGGTTGCCCTCCCAAGGAGAGGGACTCACCTGGAGCAAATACCCTCTTCAGGGAAGACCTGGGAGCTAGCCTGGAGCCCACACAGGGCTGGGAGGGAGGGAGTCAGAAAAATGGGAAGGAGCGTTGGGGAAACAATCCGACAGCCCCCTCCCAACCTGGCCTGACTCACTAGCCCTTTTCCATCTTAGGGCACTTAAGTTTCCAGGACTGTTTTGTGACTTCCGGGGTCTGGAATGTGACGGAGCTGGTGAGAGTATCACAGAGTAAGTGAGTCCTTCCTTCATGCTAGGGACCAGAATTGGGCTGAGGTTGGGCTGAGGTGTGGGGACTTGGACCTCACAGGGCCCCCATTCTGATGGGGTCTTAGATCAAGCGAAACAGAGAAGGGACGGCCTCTGTCTCTTTGGCCGTAGGCTGGGTGGAGCAGAGTTGTCCAGAGAGCCCCAGCCAGCTCTAATCTCTGCTGCTTTAGGAAAAAAAAAGTCACAACCAAAAGCTGTTCCCTGAGGACCCCCAGTGGGGGTTGGGGGGAGGTTTTCTCAGCAGCACAGGTGGCCCACCTTTCTATCCTGTGTCCCTGTAGCAAACCCCCCCCCCCGGGCTTCTGGGAGCTGCTCACACAGCAGTTTACGGGCCCTGGGGGGCCTCTGGTACCTTCTAAACCTCACCAGCCTCTTACTCTTCCTAGCTCCTGTGGCAACAGCGTCAGGGCCTAACTTCTCGCTGGCCGACTTGGAGAGTCCCAGCTACTACAACATAAACCAGGTGACCCTGGGGCGGCGGTCCATCACCTCCCCACCTTCCACCAGGTAAGCCTAGCACTGCAGCCTTCGGTCTGCCCCAGATGACCCCCCGTTATTCAAAGTGCCTGGGCCTGGATGCTTCAGGATGTTACCCCTTGTTGGAGGCACTAGCTCGCCATGGCCTGGACCCACTGTACTCAGCTACCCCACTGAGCTTCCTGTCACACAGCACTTGCCCCTGGGGACCAAACCTGCACAAGTCATGGCTAGAAGTAGAGTCTGGCAAGGTCTCCTCTTGGAGAGGTGGCACTTGATCCCAGACACATGGCAGAGGTGGTGGTTGGGGGACGTGGGATGGATGCTCTAGGCAGCCTCCCTCCAGTCAAAGCTGGAGAGATTGGCAGGGCTACCCCAAGAGGACTTTGGAGACCTGAGGAAGGCATGTGGACTTCAGCTAGAGCGGCAGAGACACTGAAGAGTTTTGAGCGGGGCATGCTGGGGTTGTGTGTTCCAGCAGCTCCTCCAGCAATGTGTGGGCAGCGCTGACAGAGTGGGGAGGCCGAGCCTCCAGGCTGGGGTGGGGAAGGGTCTGAGTAGGTGGATTACGCTAGAGAGAAGGGGAAGAGTTGAGAGGTGCTAGCCGGTAGTCAGTTGGCCTCATCAGGCACATCTTGCAGGGAAGAATCAGGTTCTGTCTTCTTTTATTCATTTTTATTTTTTATTTTCTTTTAAAGATTTATTTTTTAGTTGTAGTCGGACACAATACCTTTATTTATTTATTTATCTTTATGTGGTGCTGAGACTCGAACCCAGGGCTTCGCACGTGCTAGGCAAGCGCTCTACCACTGAGCCATAACTCCACCCCCATGGTTCTGTCCTCTTTTAAAACTAGGATTTTTTTGTTCACTGTGAGGTTTTAGGCTCTGTGTGTGTGTGTGTGTGTGTGTGTGTGTGTGTGTATGTATGTGACTAGCGATTGAACCCAGGGGTACTCTACACCTGAGCTACATCCCAACCCTTTTAATTTTTATTTTGAGACAGAGTCTCGCTAAGTTGCCTGGGCTGGTCTTGAACTGTGATCCTCCTGCCTCAACCCGCCAGGGTTGCTGGGATTACAGGCATGTGCCACCATGCCTGATTACACATTCATTTTGAGATTTTTAAAATCTTTCATTAAAATATTCTTTACCTTGATGACTGAGTTTTGTGCACCTCTGACCTTTTTGTCTCTGAGAGTACCTCACTGGCCCTTGGGGACTGACAGGAAATGGTGGGTGGGGCAGAGGAAGCAGGTGCTCCCTTCTTGGATGGGCCCTGGATGGACCATAAAGGGCTCTTGAGGGAGCAGATTTTGGAGCTGCCTTGCTCCAGGGAGCAGGTGGGCTGGTCTCAGGTTGGACATCCAGGGGAGAGTCCAGAAGCAGTGCTACAGGCTGGCACCTGCTCCTCGCACAGGGAGCTGCCAATATACAGTTCTCTAGCCGGGGCACCCAGTGACTCCTTGGAGCCTTGGCCCATCTGACCCTCTCTTCCTTCTCCAGCACCACCAAGCGCCCCAAGTCCATTGATGACAGTGAGATGGAGAGCCCTGTCGACGACGTGTTCTATCCCGGGACAGGCCGCTCCCCAGCAGCTGGCAGCAGCCAGTCCAGTGGGTGGCCCAACGATGTGGATGCAGGTATGGGCATAGCAGTTCCATCTCAGCCCCAGAGCAGCCAGAGCTCCACTGACTCCCCCATTGTCAGGTGGCCCTGCCAGTCTCCCTCCTAGATTTCTGAAGTGGGCACACCAACTGAAGGAGGGGAGTGGAGGCAAGGAGCTGGGCCACCCCTAAGTGGGCAGCAGAACCTATGGGCATGGTGGGGAAAAGTCTGCAAGCCTCAGGTGCCCTGTGGTGGGGGGCTATGGCCTCTGCTTCACAGCCTCCTCCTCTTGATATTTCTGCAGTGATTGCCCAGCCTGGTGGTCCCCAGAGTTTAAAGCCATTTTCTCAACCAGGGCCCCAGTGGCATTTGAGACCTGGTCACTCTGCAGTGGGGACAGCCCAGTGCATTGTAGCGCTGGGTGGCATCCTTGGCCTCCACCTGCCAGATGCTAGTAGTAAACACTCACTCCTTGTTTTGAGGAACAAAAATGTCTTCAGACATCGCTGAATACCTGCTAGGGGACAGACTTGTCCTGGCCTCAAGGAGGCCAACTTACAGAGAGATTCAGAGCCCAGTGAAGAGCAGGCAGAGCCGTTTTTAGACCAGGCGGGGAAGCTCTAGTGAAGGGTGAACTTCTGAGAAGCCTGTAAGAAGCAGCTCAGACCTTTGCTTCCCTCTGAGTGGCCTACGCATGTGGAGCCCACCCACCTTCACCTCCAGTGTTGGCTGAGGGTGTGGACAGACTAGAGAGCTCAGGAGGGAGTGTGTGTGCCCATGCTTGTGCGTGTTCCTGTGTGTGTGAGGAGGGAGGGGAGAAAGGGTGAGAGAGAGGAGGCTCACTGTAGGGGACCCTGCCTGACATGTTGGACCTATGGCCTATGTAGGTCCTTAAGGGATAAGGGTCTTGGGGCCTGGGAGTGCATATCTGCTCATGTGGGGTGTACACAGGGCATATTTGCTCTGGACAGGGCTGGAGACAGAGGACTGGGCTTTATTCATTCAGGGTCTGACCTAATGGCATCTTGTCTGCTACAGATTGGGGTCAGGGATGGGGGTGGCCAGTGGAAGGGCTACAGATGCAGGCTCTGGCTTCTGCTCTTGGCTCCTGGGAGGAAGCAAAGCCTCCAAGCCTTGACTGAGGGAGTGGGCTCAAGACCCTCTAGACCTCTAGTGGAGACTGGACTCTGCGGGAAGAAGCCCCAGCATGAGCGTGACTTTGGTGGCCCTTCCGTGTTTACAAGTCCTGGGCTAGCATGGCCCATTCGGTCCTCAGGGGAGCCTCTGGTGGCAGAGAGAGGGGGAATTGAGAGGACCCAGGAGACTTGGGCTGCATCCCAGGCCCCTGCCAGGACCTCAGTCAGGTGATCCCTCCTACAAGACTGCCACTGGTATGCCTTGAGGCCCCATCTGCTGCCACTTGCTCCTGGGAGGAGGGCTTCCAGGACCTTCCGCACAGACCTAGTATCCAAGGAGCCCTTTTCTTCCTGGCCCCTGCTTTTTCCTTCTTAGCTCTCTGCTCTCGCGCCTGCCATTTCTGCTTCTTCCTGCAGTCCTGCCATGCACGGCACCCCCAACATCCTCCTGCAGCACCTCCAGCTCCCTCCCCTCCTTGTCGTGTTTCCCTGGGCTGCGACAAATCGCCAATTAAGCAGCCCAGCTGCAGGATGGGGAACAGCTGGGGAGGCGCTGTGCGGCAGCAGGGACAGCTGTGCACAGCTGGTGGGGGCCTCCCTCCCCCCACCATGCCAGCTATCAGGTGGCACACAGCTGCCGCCAGATAACACCTCTGCTGGCGGCTGGGAACTCGCCCTTCCCCCGCCTCTTTCCAATGCCGTTGTGGCTCTTCTTTCTCTGTTCTACAGCCCCCCCTCAACTGATGCAATTTGTCCCTCAAAGATGGCAGCTCTACAGATCTGCCTCCCTTCCACCTCAAGAAGTTCAGCCCAGGACAAGGTTCAGTCCAGATGAACTCCCCCAGAGACCTCACCCACTGGGAGCCCTCTTTGCCCTGGTGTCTTTGGGATGTCACACCTATTGGGCAGAGATGCCCTTGGCTGGTAGCTTCTGGCTCTTTGAAGAAGCTCAAATAGGGTGTCTTCTCTGTGCCTGTCTCCTGCAGAATACCACTCTGGCACCAGGAGCAGAGCCCATCCCCAGCCTCCAAATCCCCTGAAAAGGGGCATCCTTTCCCGCTGGCTCTGCCCCTAGGACCCACCCAGGCCCTCTGGCCCCACTCCCTCCTGCTCTGTTGGATGTGTGTCCCTCCCAGGGCCCCTGACTGTGCTTTCCCTTCCCCAAAGGGAGTACTGGTTTCTTCCCTCCAGAGCGGCCCAGGGCCCAGAGTACCTCCTGGGCTTGGCCCTTTGGCCCCCTTCATCACAGCCATCACTCAGGCTCTCAAACTGGCTCCCTAGGTTCCTCCTGCACCCCATTTCTGATGCTGGCCCTGTGGTCGCCCTTTTTATTCCCTTATGGGTTTGTTAGTGGGCAAGATGGGCTCCCCTTGCTCAGCCCCAGCCCAGCACATGCAGCCCATGTCATGCAGAGGCTTTATTTTCCTCTCTTGCCAGAAGCACCCACGGCCAATCTGCACATGGGGCATGGAGGAGCCCAGATAAGGCATCGTGGGCAGGAGGCCTCATGGTGGAAGAAGGGCTGGCAGGGGCACCCCGAGGATAGAGGGAGCGAGCTGCTGGCTTCCCACCTTTCCTGCTCCCACCCCGGCCTGGCTAAACCTGCCTGTGTTGCTGCTTCCTCCCCCCAGGCCCGGCTTCTCTAAAGAAGTCAGGAAAGCTGGACTTCTGCAGTGCCCTCTCCTCTCAGGGCAGCTCCCCACGCATGGCTTTCACCCACCACCCGCTGCCTGTGCTTGCTGGAGTCAGACCAGGTGAGAAATGGGGGACCCGGAGCGGGCAGTATGGGAGGTGGCCGAGTGCCAAGGGGAAGCTGACCAGGTGCAGGGGCCAAGACTGACTGGATGACAGCCCAAGGCTCCCTGTGTGGGTGATAAAGTGGCAGCAAGGATAAGTGGGACGGGGGGGCCCTCTTGCAGCACCACCCACCACCAGGCCCGGCCCTGAGTCTGCTCACCTGGTTCCCAAGCACCCTCCCACTTGCTTCTGACTCCCATGTGCAAGAGTGTGTGGGTGCATGTGTGTACTGCATGTTCACTAGGAACCTCCTGAGTCTCCTCCAACCTGCTCTCCAGCCAGACAGGCCTCGGGCCCAGTTTACCTCCATCCCGTCAGCCATAGTGGGAAAGCACCCTCCCACCCTGCCTGCCTTTGGCTCTTCTCTACCAACCCCTAGCTGAGCCCAGGGTCTGGTCTCCCAACATGAACCCAGGGTGGCATAGATTGAAAAGACACTCTGCCTGGTGTAGTGATGCAGGAGGCTGAGGCAGGAGGATCACGATTTTGAGGGTAGCCTGGGCAACTTAGCAAGAGCTTATCTCAAAACAAAACAAAAAGGTCTGGGGGTGGAGCTCAGCGGCAGAGCACTTGCCTAGACTGTGTGAGGCCCTGGGTTCCATCACCAGGACTGAGAAAAAACAACACTGTTTAGAGCCCCCGGTCTCCTGCCTTGTATCCTGGGGCAAGCAGCTGCCTTCTCTGGTTTTCTCTGTCCTTTTCCAGATGTGAAGGCCTGGGCCTGGGGGATAGGTGGCCCCTGGGAAAGGGTTCAACCTGCTGCCTTGAGGGTGCATCTCTCCCTTCAGTGTCTCTAGTGTGAGGAGTGGGAGCAGGCAGGAGGTTGGGGGGTGTCACTTGGGGAGCCCCTTCACTCCCTTGCTTTTTTCGTCCCTGCCTGGTACCCACCTGGTAGCATGAGGCCTGGGCACAGGCCTACATCTGTCCACTGTCTCTCTAGCGGGCTTCTTTGCTGCAGGACACAGAACAGGGAGGTTTACCTTTTGGCTTCCTCCTCAGGGCCTCCTGGCTGGGAGCCCAGAGGCAGCGGGTGCTGGGGCAGGGTGTGGTGGCTGCAAGGTGGGGGCAGGGATCCCAGGCAGCAGGAGGGCATCAGGCCCCACTCTGCTCTGAGTCAGTTTTTATGAACTCCAGAGAGAAGCCAAGTTTCCTTAGCCTCCTAATGAAACCAGCTAGAGCAGCTGATTGGAAACAGACCGGAGAAGGAGGGCCCATCAGGAGAGGAGGCCTGTGCCGGGGGGACTGTGTGTGCAAGGGCACACGTGCGAGGGCCATGGGGCTGAGCACGTGAAGGCAGCCTGTGCTGGGGGTGGGAGCATCCCACGTTGCACTCAGGAGGTGTGAGTGTGTATGTCCAGTGCCTTTCCGGCACCAGCATGGGGCAGGTCTTTATCTAGAGCCTGGTAGCTATCTGCCCACATAGTCCCTCACCCAGGCTTCCCACAGGGCCTGTACCCCAGGAAAGCCAGTTGTTTATCTTCAGCATAGAATGTCAGAGGGTGCCAAAAACACAGTCATCAAGATAGGTAATATTTTAATGCATTATTTAAAAAATAAAAAAAACTATTACAAGAAGACATATGATAAGCTGGCTAGGGTGGCACTTAACCTGTAATCCCGGCTACATGGTGGGTGGAGATGGGAGGATTGCAAATTTGAGGCCAGCCTCAGCAATTTAGTGTAATCCTGTCTCAAACTAAAATAAAAAGGGCTGGGGTTGTAGCTCAGTGTTAGAGTGCTTGCCTAGCATGTGTGAAGCCCTGGGTTCAATCCTCAGCACTGAAGGGAAAAAGAAAAAAAAAAAAAAAGCATACGATAAGCAAATAACAAGCTAAACAATTTTATACAGAGACAGGATCTCTGTCTGAGCAAGACCCTGCTTCACCTGTCTCCTCGTTGTAATACCCAACCTAGTTCCAATCACATTTCTAATTTTTTAAAAGTTTTAATTTCTTTCTTTTTCTTTTTTTCTTCAGTACTGGAAATTGAACCCGGGGTTTGAAGTGTACTGAGCCAAGACCCCAGCCTACCTTTTGCCTATAAAAACAAGTGGCTGGCCCTCAGGCCCAAGCCTACTAATTTGATTATTATCTGGGTATTTTGGGAGGTTTTCTGGTTTTATTTTTGTGGTGCTGGGGATCAAATCCAGGGCCTCACACATGCTTATCTTTAGTTTTAGGACACATTAAATGTCACTGACCTGGATGACAGCTCTTTTGGTGCCTGTCAAGTAGCTGTCCTGCCTCGCCCTCCTCCCTCCCCATTCTCCCTCTTCCTTAACCTCCTCAGCCCTGGGATCACCAGCTCCCCTCTGCCATGCCCCCAATGCTGCCTCCTCCGCCCTGATGCCTTTTCCTTCTCCTTGCCCATGTGTACGCAGGGAGCCCCCGGGCCACAGCGTCAGCCCTGCACTTCCCCTCCACGTCCATCATCCAGCAGTCGAGCCCATACTTCACACACCCGACCATCCGCTACCACCACCACCATGGGCAGGACTCGCTGAAGGAGTTTGTGCAGTTTGTGTGCTCGGATGGTTCAGGCCAGGCCACAGGACAGGTGAGTCCAGAGGGCCCCAGGAGCCCTGCGGCAGCCTCATCTCTGCACCTCTGTCTGTCTGTCTGTCTCAGGGCTTACAAGGAGAGGGCCCACTTGGGGCTGGAGCAACAGGGAGGCAGTCTTACACACACCTTGATTTTTCTGGGTCTGGGGTTGAGTGTCCAAGCGTTATGTCAGGGCCTATCCATCAAGGTCTGGAAAGGTGGAGGGCATCAACGTGTGGGCCCATCCTGCCTGGGCTCCTTGCCCTCCCTGTGGGCCTTATTTCCTCAGCAGAAGTGAACCTGTGATCTCTCCATCCAGGGCTTGAGCCCCCCCACCTCCCAGTGCCCCTCTTACACCTCAGAGATGCAAGGATTTGACAAGGTTCCAGGCAAGAGTTTGGCATGGCTGTTGACATTTGCAGCTGTTTGTTCTCTGTGGTGTGAGGCTGCCCTGGGCATTGTAGGATACTGAGTAGCATCCCTTGCCTCTACCTGCCAGATGCCAGGAGTTCCTTTCTGCTCCCCAATTGTGTCAATCCAAAATGTCTCCGGATTTCAGTGAGCTGTGTGGGCAGCAAGGCCGTGCCCAGATGAGCACCTCTGTGTGAAGGGAGGCCCCAGTCCACGGAGCTGCCATGGATTCTCCTGTCAGCAGGACTCTTAAGGGGTTCCCAGGACCATTCTGGTTTTACGGTGAAGCTCTTCTCAGCCCTGGGGACAGAGGAGATCCCCAAGAGCCTCAGGGCCTGATTATGCAGGAGCAGAAAAAAGGGGACAGCTCAGCAAAGGGATTATCCTAGGTGGTGGGCCAGAGATGACCCCAGGTGGGACGCTCAGTTCCTCGGGGGTCACTCTGAGTTGGGACACATTGTCTCTAGACCTCTGGGAAGGTTCTGTAGCCCAGGCAGCAGGCTGTGCTGTGAACAGCCCCAGCCCTCTCAGCTGGCTGTGGCAGCCTGGATTCCTGCTGTGAGAGATGTATGTCACATTGGTGTCGGGGAAGCTCCAGGGCTGTGGCCAGAGGCAGCCCAGCCAGAGTGGCCAGCGTCCTCCATTCGGCTGGTGCTGTCTTGGTGCACTCTGCGTAGAGTGGGCATTTGCTGTGCGCTGGTATGTGATTAGAGATGGGCCTCCTGGAGCCGCGGCCTCCGGGCTCTCCGTCCATCTCTTCCCTCCCTCTTGCTTTCCTTTCTCTTTCCTCCTTATCTCCTTTCCCCCTTTGCCCTGTGAGGGCTTCCCTGGCTGACTGCAGCTCCTCAGGATACTGGTAGCCTTGCCCTCCTCTTGGGACAAGCGTTGTTCTGCTTTCAGGGGCGTAGAAGAATAGACCTGACCTTTGGCAACTGCTGTACTTCCTTCAGAGATGTGGCAGTGTTGACAGGGAGCCACTAGCCTGTGCCCTGGTTCCCAAAAGGCCTGATGTCAGGAACACAGAACTGAGAGGCCAGGAATGCTGCCTTGCTTGCCTTTTCACCTAGGCAGCCAGGGCTTAGAGTAAAGATGGAGTGGACCTAGAGACTGAGGGCTGAGTCTTGAGCTTCTCACTTGACTTTTCAAGATTGAGATCTCACTTTGCTTAAGAAGGTTTTCTTCTTTTGCTTCAGAGAAAACCTGCAGGCAGGTTTGCGAACAGGCACCCTGATGAAGCAGAGTATAGCCAGGCTGGGGAGCAGCCTCTCTGGGTTTCCTCTTGTAGTCTGTCATCTGAAGAGAGAGGAGGGGGATCTGCGGGAAGCCTGCTCCAGAGGGCCATTCCAAGGTTCAGAGAGGAGATGAGAGCCAAGAGTCACCAGCATGCTATGGAGGAGTCTGATGTAGCTGCAGAGAGCCAAAGGCCAGCTGAACTTGCTGTAGTTCTCAGACTTAGTGTGCACAAGAGGAGTTCACAGGCCCTCAGCCCCAGAGCTTCTGTTTCAGTGGGGTTGGGGGAGGGCCTAAGAAGCTGCATTTTCCCCCAAGTTCCCAGGTAATGCTGGTGTTGCTGGCCAGGAGATCCACTTTGAAATCAGTGATCTAGAGCCTAGAGAAGAAACTTTCTAACCTCCTCAAGAATCTGAAGTTATTGACCAACTTTGCAGGAAAATACATGGAGAAACTTTATAAACAATTGCAGGAGGGTTCCCAGGCACCCTGATAGCTTGTCCTTGGACCCCAGGGTAAGGCATGTACTGATTTCATTAAAAAAATTTTTTTTGAGGGGACTGAGGACTGAACCCAAGGATATTCTATTACTGAGCTATATCTGCAGCCTTTTTTATTTATTTTTTTGAGACAGGTTCTTGCTAAGTTGCCCAGCCTGGCCTCAAACTTGCAATCCTCCTGCCCCCAGCTTCCAAGTAGCTAGAATCACAGGCATGTGGTACCACACCTTGGCCACACACTAGTTTCAAAGAACCAAATCAATAGTAGCCAAGGGCAAGTGGAGACACCACTAGGAGAAGGACAGAAAGAAGATGCTTGAGGAGTTGTGTTTTGGGGAGGGAGAAGAGGTGGTCAAGTGGATGGGAAAGTCACAGACCCACTGGGAAGGCATGATTCTGAGAGGCAGGAAGACTGGCTGTGGCTCAGCCTTGTTTGCCCACGTTGGGATGGCCAGGCCTGCATCTTTAACTGTAAGACCAAAGTGAGGAGCCATACCAGCTCTCAGGTGAGGTGGTGACTCTGTGAGGTACCGCAGAGTCACAGGAACTTGAGATATGTAAAACCTTGATTTACACTCCAGCCGCAGCTAACCTTCCAGCCTGGTTGAAAGTTACTTCTAGAAACAGAATGTTGTACATCACAAACTGTAATGCCTTATCAGACCGAGCCAGGACTAGCCCTATCGGATAGAATTAGTGGTTTAATTTACTTTTTTATTTTTTGGTACTGGGGATTGAACCCAGATGCTTCACCACTGAGCTACATCCCCAGCCTTTTTATTTTTTTATTTTGAGACAGCATCTCACTAAGTTGTTTAGGGCCTCTCTGATTTGCTGAGACTTCCCTTGAATTTATGGTCCTCCTGCCTCAGCCTCCAGAGTCTCTGGGATCACAGGCATGCTCCACTGTAGCCAGTGAGATTAGCAGCTTAGATACTCCTAGGGGAGACAGGCTCTGAAGGTAGGAAGGAGGCAGAGGCCACCCTAGGGCAACAAGTGCTGCCTGGAAAGCTTGTGTCTCAGCTCCTGGGAGCATGAGTTCAGGATGCCCAGAGAGAAGGAGGATTCAGGACTATTCTATTTTTTTTAAAAAAAGAAAGAGTGGGAGAGAGAGAGAGAATTTTTTTAATATTTATTATTTAGTATTTGGCGGACACAACATCTTTGTTGGTATGTGGTGCTGAGGATCGAACCCGGGCCGCACGCATGCCAGGTGAGCGCGCTACCGCTTGAGCCACATCCTCAGCCTCTATTTTTTGTCTTGATGGAAGAATGAGATAGGAACCAGGTTGGCCATGGAAATGAGGAGAGGCAGTGCTATTTGGATCTGGGTGTCACCCCTGCAGAACTGGAAATCCCTGCCCTTTCCAAAAAGACACCTAGCACAAAGGGTCTCCAGCCTGACACAGACAGGGACCAGAAGCCACTGCATGCTTTGTCTAAGGCCTCTGAGAATTGTCACCCTCAGAGAAGCAAGAATAGTTGAGGGAACAATTTAGAGGAATAATATGTCAGACTTCAGTGCTGGTTATTAAGGATAGAGGACAAAGGGCTAAAAGCTAAAGTTGAGCGGAGTGAGGCCTGCACAGGTCAGCTGTGAGTTCTGTGATTTTAAACTGCAGCAGGACAGCAGGCAATCTCTCTTGGTCAGTGGGACTCAGTACTGCCCATTTCTGCCATCTCCAGGCACCACTCGGAGGTCCAGGGTGTCCTGGAAGAACAGGACAGAGAGCAAGGAATGTGATTCAGGAATCTAGCTGGTCCCGCCGAGAGGAAGTGTTCTCTGAGCAGGACTTGAAGTAAAGTGCCTGGTCTAGGCCTGAGCACCAAGGGCACAGAGCTGATGGACACACTGTGGCAGAGGGGCACCCCTGGAGTGTCACTATCACTGTCTTGGTGAAATGAATGAGGACAGAATGACGGGCTGACTGCAAGCACTGAGTGGGTGGACTTCACAGAGTTTGTCCACTGATAGGAGGAGGAGCACAGGGACCCCCCACGGGTCTCATAGCTGGGTGATCAGAAGGGCAGAGCTTTGCCCCATAGGGTAGGACAAAGAGCTGGGGCTGGGCCTCCCCATGTCTGGGCTGTAGGTGGGCACTGAGGGTGCTGCCCAGAGTAGCAGGAGGCTCCAGGAAAGAGGCAAGGGAGCCTTTGGCAACTCCCTTCTCTGAAGCCAGAAGGCTGACCCACGAAAGGCCAGGCACAGGGCCTGGAGGAGGAAACTCAAGTTTGAGGCCAAAGAGGGCATAAAGGACAAGGAGTGGAACCTGGTGGCCTGACCTCCCTGGCTCCTGAGGGCGTCGTCCAGGGAAGCACTCTTGAAGAACCTCACGGAAACTGGAGCTGGCAGCAGCGCGTTTTCCTCCCTGGCTGTTCTTTAGAGAAAAGGCCAGCACCCCACTGTCCACAGGCGCTGAGGACACTGGCTGCCGGGGCCCAGAGTGAGCTCCTCCCTGCCGGCGTCCTCCTGAGGCTGTGCCAAGAATGGATGCTGGACGGGCCTGCAGTCCTTGGCTGGTCAGCCCGCCCGGCCGGGCCCTGGAGGGAGGCCCGCATGTGCCTTTGGGGGATGGTGGGGGTGAGCTGGCTCGTCTTTCCTGCCGTGGGAGAAGGTCTTCAGGAGTGTGAGAACGCTGAGTACAGTTGCACGCATTGCTAGGTGGCACTTTTTTTTGTACCTAAAACATTTTCCTTAAGAAATAACAAATCACCTGTCGGACGACCCCCTTCCTTTCTCCCACAACTTCAAAAGAGGACTGAAAAAAAAAAAAAGAGAGAGAGAGAGAAACACCCGAGAGACCAAATAGAGGCCTTACACCCTTACCCATCCTGTGCCCCGGATGAGAGGACCTTCCCAATCCTGCATCTTCCACCGGGAGCGCCGGCTCTCCGGAGCGAGCTGGTGCGGCCGCGCAGGGGAGCGTGTGTCTGTGTGTGATGTGCCTTCATGCGTCACTCTATTTATGTTGTTCGCAGCCCAACGGTAGCGGCCAGGGCAAAGTCCCGGGGTCATTTTTGCTACCGCCGCCGCCTCCAGTGGCCAGACCTGTGCCCCTTCCTATGCCTGATTCCAAATCCACCAGCACTGCCCCAGACGGCGCCGCCTTGACTCCTCCATCACCTTGTAAGTGGACGATGAAACTGAAACCACAACGCCCAGCGTCCCCGGCCCATCCAAACAGTCTGCACTGCAAAAGAGAACAGCCCCACACCCATGCCAAAGCCCCCAGCCCAGAGCGCCACGGAGCCACCTGCCCGGACAAGAGCAGAGCCAAGCCCCCAGCCACAGCCTCCTGGGCCTCTGCTGCGCCAGCCAGCACCCCATGAGCCCCCTGCCTGCTGCTCCCAGCTGGGGCCCCTGGCCCAGGCCCCCCTGGGGGGGCGGGAGGGACAGCACAGTGGGGTGCCAGGCCAGGGGTGCTGGCGCGGGTGGGAGGGGGTGGGGAGGCACAGCCATGCCATCTTCATGCCTGATTGCTGTTTTTTTGTTTTTTGTTTTTTTGTTTTTGTTTTTCAATTTTTTGTTGTTTCGTTGTTCCTACACACACACCAAGAAAATTAAATGTGACCACAAGGCGACGCCACCACCATCCCCTTTTTGCCTTACCTCCCTTACCTCCCTTCCTGGCTCTTGGTCCTCTAAAGATGCAGGAGGCCAGCCCCTGACCCCCCACCCTCAGTCTCACATTTGGTTTCTCGTTGTTCCTCTTTTTTTTTTTTTCCTCCTCCTCCCATCCTTTCCCCTTCCTTCCCCTCAATCCCTTAATTCCTTTCCTAGGTTGATGTTCCAAGGACAAGGGAGGGCTCTGGGCCTCTGCTACTTCATCTCTCTCTCTTTCTTCTCCCCCCCCCTTTTTTCTCTTTTCTTTAAAACTGGTGACAAATTTTATCAAAAGGAAGAAAAGAAAAAATCTGAGTCAAGAGGCCCCAGATAGACCCGACGTGAAGGACAGGAAAGATGGAGGGTGGGCTGTGCGCTGTCTGTGGGCAGGGTGGCCGAGGGTGGGCAGGGCCCTGTGGCTCGCAGGCCATAGGCCAGGGTGCTGCAGTGGTGGGCAGATGGCCCATCTCGCTGCTGTCTGTTGGCCCTGTTTCTCCTCCTTTCTCTCGGTTTGAGTTCTTCCCCCCATCCTTCTCATGCCATCTTCTCATCTGCATCTACCATAAGACACGAAGTCATGACCATGGTCATCTGAAGTGGGCAGGGTTGGAGAAGGGAGTTCAGGCCGCAGGTTGGGGGGCACTTCTGAAGAGAGGTGGACAGAACCTGGTGAGCATGGGGTCCCTGAGTATAACTGGTATAGGGCAGGGGATGGGCAACCGGTGACACTCTTTTTCCCCTCTGGGGACATCTTCCCTCCTGGGAGTGCAAGGCCTGTTCCCTCCTGTCGGGCTCTAGCCAGATAACCCAAGAAGAACTCAGGGGTGTTCCGTTCATTTGCCACCTTGGGCTGCAGGACAGCTGTCCCTAGGTGACTGAGCTTTGGGGCTCTGCCAGGCACTCCGGTCTCCTCTTCCTCTGTAGCCTTGGCCCATTTCAGGCTTTGGGACCGTGAACCCTTTGGGCCAGGTGCATTGATCAGAGAAGAAAGGCGCAGGCTTTGTGACCCCAGGCCGAAGCTGAGAGATCAGCTCCTACGTCCTTCTCTGACCCCATCCTTCCTGGCTCAGTCCTTTGTTGGGTCCCCTTGGAGTTCCCCACATCACCTACCCACTCCTTAGGACTGCCCAGGGTGCACTTGACATGGCCTGAAAGGTGGCCTGAGAACACTTTCCCCACGAAGGGTGGAGGCAGGCCACCAAAGCTGCCACCCTTCTTTGGACCCTCTCTTCAAGTAGGAAAGCCAGGATACCCACTGAGGGCACATTAAGGACCAGGTTGTCCCCAACCCTGTCCAGTATCTCAGTAGGGGACAGAACTGGGTCCAAGAGACCTCAGCTACAGCCTCCAGGGCTCCTTCCTTACCCTGGGCCCTGAAAGAGGCTGCCTGATTGAGGCTGCCAGGGCTGGGGGAGGGTGGGGTGTGTGCTTCTGGTCGGGGAGAGGACGAGGGGCCCCTCGTGTGGAGGAGGGACAGGCTTGGAGCCTGGTCTTTAGCACAGGAGCCCTTGGCCCAGCCTAAATTTGGCAGCACAGCACAGTCTAACCCAGTCTCTCCCTCTCAGCAGTCCCGAAGGGCAGTACCCAGGTGGCCCAAGGCCTGACGGGGTCTCTCCCTCTCTCCCTGCTCCCACAGCATTCGCAGCGACAGGCGCCTCCTCTGCCAACCGGTTTGTCAGCATCGGACCCCGGGACGGCAACTTTCTGAACATCCCACAGCAGTCTCAGGTAGGAGACCACCTGTAAGCAGGCGCAGATGGACAGACAGGGTTGGGGACACCTTGATGTGAGGGAAGAGGCTGGGGTCTTTACAGCTATTCAGGGAGCAGGCGGAGCTTCAGGACCCAGACTTTTGCATGCCCAGCTGAGCCTGCCTCCCCAGGCAGCCCCCAGGCTCCCTGGCTAATCAGCTAATTGGATAATTAGCTCTGACAGCCCTGGCCCTGGGGAAGGCGGCCAAGGACCCAAGGCTCCAGGCGCTTTGGGCCAGGCCTGGTGGAAGCAAAGATGGAAGCCGGAGGCACCCTGTCAGGAACAGGGACAGCGTCTGCTTCACTGCCCTCCCACTGCCCCTCCCTCCCAACACTGGCTGGAAGTCCTGCCCCATGCACCCTCCACCCCGCCCTCCCCTTTTCCCTGGCTTTGGGTGGGCTGGGCAATGGTGGAGGAGGGACAGAGTGGGCCTGGTGGGCTGAGTGCCCAGAGACTCTGGCACCAAGGGCAGGGCAGGACTGGCTGCTGCCCTGGAAGCCCCTCCCCCAAGTCCCAATGGGTCCTGTTAGGGGTAGCCAGACTGCAGGAGCCCCCAGTCCCCACTCCCCTCTTCTGCTGACACCATCCCTACTTCTCTTAAAGGGATAAGCCCATCCTCAGCCCCTCTAGCTGGAAGCCCCTGGACTTGGCCTTGCACATACATGTGGGTGTCCCCTGTGTACCTGTCCCCAAAGAGGCTGAGAATAGTCAGCAGAACCCAGGGCCCTGGGAGCTAGGAAGGACCCACCTCAGGAGCAGGGCACACCAGCTATTGAGGGCCCATGGCTTTCACAGGACAGGGTTTCAGAAAAGAGTGTGCAAATGTCTTTTTTTTGCACATTTTACAAGAACACCTCCTTGTGGACTTTCTTGGCCCTGGGAAACCCACCTTTGCCCAGAGCCCCAGAGCTACCTCTGTTGGTTCCTGTTCCGCCTCTGCTCTAAGGCCCCCATCCAGAGAAAGTTAGTGGATGGAAGTTTTGTGTGTGTGGCTTGAGGGCTTGCTTTCTTTCTTTCTTTCTTTTCCTTTCCTTCCAAAAAAAAAAAAAGCCAAAAAACTTTGTCAAACTTCAAACTTCAGAGCTCCCTAGTGGCAAGGAGGGGAGGGGAAGGGAACTTCAACCCCCTCCAGCTTCCCACCCCCTTTCCCCAGAGTCACGTCTGACCCGTCTGGTTTCCAGGAGCAACCAGACATGATGTAACACCCAGATGAACTTGAACTTGGGGGTGTTGAGAAGAAAAACAATGGCTCCGAGCAGGGGCTGGAGCCAGCCCCCTCTGCTCTGTGCCAGGGAGGCCGAGAAAGCCCTGCTGGCAGAGGGCGGGAGGGGGTGCCAGAGGAAGGGACAGCAGGCGGGCCTCCCCTCTGGGCTCTGGGCTGGCACCAAGGGCAGGGCTCATTCACTCCCTCCCTCTTGCCGTACCCCTGGCCGCCTGCAGCTCTGCAGTGCGCGTGCTTGACCACTGCCAGAGCCCTCCCTGTTCAGTCAACCCCTCTCGCCTCCTTCTTCACTTTCTCTGCTGTCTTTGCTTGGACGTTTTGGGGCCAAGGCAGAGTTTGAGGCAAGTCTGGTAAATAACTTCTCTTCTCCCATGTTCCCATCTTGGGCTCTGGGCATTCGGGGAAGGAATTCTCTGCCGGGGTCTAGGGTGCCTGAGCAGGCAGGTGTGTCCAGGGGGCAGTGGGAAGCCAGAGCAGGACATGCTGCTGAGCAGGAGTCCCCGGGCCTGGGGCAGGCGGGCGGCTGCAGTGGGCACAGGGGGTACAGTCAGAAGTGGTTTCCACAGTAACGAGTGACTTTTGCTGATCCCTGGAGCACCAGATGGAGAGAGAACAATAGAATGAGGGAAGAAAAGAGAATTTTAGCAATTTTGTCATTCCCTGGGCAGCGCTTTTTACTTAGTTTTAATCAGTTTTGGACTTGGCTCAGGAAGCAGGGAGGGTGAGCAGAAAAGCCACTCCGTGCTTGGCAGCAGATCTTCTGTTCTCGGGACCTGTGGGGAGGTGCCAGGGAGCTCCCTTGGAACTGCCTTTGTCCCCAGCTCCAGGACTGGAATCCGAGTCTTCCTCCTCTGAGGAGGGCCCCCAACCTGAGATTTGGTTGTTGAGCCCCCTGCTGTGGAAGCTCATGAAACTCCAAACGGGCCAGCTTGGGGCCTTGGAATGATCTGCTAACAGACAGGGCAGCTAGAGCCCTCCCTGTCCATGTTGAAGGAGAGATGGCTCCGGAGCTGGCTGCCCCCAACTTGGGAACAGTCGTACAAGAGTCCTGCATAGTCATTCCTTATGAAGAGGGGTCCCATAGATTGCCAGGGCGAAGGGCGCGGGATGGGAAGCCCAGGAGCTAGCTGCTGCCCTGGCTCTCTTCTGCTCACTCTGGGGTGCTTCATACCTGGGTTTCTGCCTCATCTTCATCAGACCCCCTGAGCCTCTGCTTGGTTTTTACTCATTTGACAGGTCAGACTTGGGGCAGGTGCTCGGGGAATGCACAGAGGGAGGACAGGTCTCCTATGTGCATATCTTCCTGTATGTGGCAGGCGGTTCATCTCTGCCAGCCAGCAGTGCCTGGTCACTGTGGTGATCCCAGATCCCACATTTATAGATACCACAGATACCCATCCACTGTGGTGGCCACTGGCCACATGTGGCTGTGAACATTTAAATGAATTAGCTAAAGAATATATAGTCACAGAATCCATATTGCATGTGCTGAGAAACCATTTGTGCTACTGCATTGGACAGCACAGATAGAATTTCTGTTGTCACAAAAAGTTCCAGAGAATCTCTGAACCCTATCCCCCACGGCTTTTGTTTTTCTTAAGAGGGATCTTACTATGTTGCCCCGGTTGGTCTCCAGCTCCTGGACTAAAGTGATCCTCTGCCTCAGCCTCCTGAGTATTGGACTACAGGCATGTGCCAGTGCACCTGGCTTCTCTGAATCCCTTTCTAATTCTCACACTCAGTGTCCCATCTCACAGTGAATAACATCATGTGGTCCCAACCAGAACTTGAGTTGTGGATCTGGCCTGTAGACCATAAGCTAACCAATATTGGAATAATAAAGTAAATATTGGAAAATTTCACATGAAATTCTGTTGCACTTCTAGCTTCTTTTGAAAAGTTGGTGGATCCAGTCACCAGGGCTCTTACTCCAATGTGGAAGGCCAGGCTCTAGACAGGGTGCAGGCATTCTGGCCACTACAGACCCTGCCTCCTCATGATCACCACACTAGTAGTAGTTAGGAGCATGAATTCTTCACTGCCCCCTGCATTTCAGTCCTAGCTGTGTCACCCTAAGGCTGTGTGGCCTCAGGCAGGGCACCTACCCTTTCTATGCCTGGCTTCTGTGAGGGGCTGGGTAAGGATAGAATGAACACATCTGGCATGTGTTCTGTAGTTAGCTCTGTCTGATCCCCACAGACCAGCAACTGTGACCCAGTCTTGGAGACCCCCATTTTATAGATACAGTCAGGTGTACCCAGCCTCCTGACCCAACCCTTGGCCTTGGGTCTGGACTGGAGCCTTTGATGGAGAGCAAATTGCAAGCTGCCCTGCCTCTGGGGTCTACCCAGAGTGTGCTGGGTGCAGAGCTGCTAGACAACGCCCTGTATGTGGGAAGGCGGTGCCCCCTGCTGGCTTCATGAAGGAAGGACGCCCACCCCAGGGAGCCTCGGGTCCTTCCCCAGATTCTAGTGCCCTAAGGGTAAAGGATCTGCAGGGTGGGCTATGGCCCCTCCCCCAGGTCTGGCACTGCTGGGGACTGAAGCCATGTGGTTCCCCCGCCCCCAGCCTTTCAGCCTGTGGGACTTTGGCTGGGATGTTCAGACGGGAATTTCTGCTTTTAATCCAAAGAGACAGAAAGAAAACTCAGCAAGAAGCTGGGCCACCCCCACCCCACTCCTCAAACCCCTCTGGGCACAAAAGCTCAAGCCTGGCATCCTCCCCACCCTCCAGGACCCACACAAAAACCTAAACAATTGCAAACATGGCCAGATCCCAGGTTTGTGCCAGCGCCAGCCACGGGGGTCCCACCCGCTGGGCACTGTGCCCACGGGAAGGCCAGCTGGACTCTAGCACTGGGGTGCAGAGTCTGGGGGATTCCCGTGAAGGGGAGCTGCACTTCCTCCCCAGTGGTGGGTCGATTGCCCAGCACCCTGGCTCTTTATGAGCTGGACTTTGAGCTGGATCCTCAAGGAATCAGCAGTCACAGTGCCAGGGACCCTGCCCCAACTGTTCTCAATATTGCCTTTTTTTTTTTTTCCGGCTTCCTTTCAGTCCTGGTTCCTCTGATAAGATCGACAAAGAAACAACAAAATGAAAAGAAGAGGTTCCTCAAAAGGGGGGAGAAGAAATTTTGAGACATGGAAAAATCCCCCAGCCCAGCCCAGCCCCACCGAAAAGCAAAAATTAGATGTCGTCAGCCACTCAGCCCTTCTCTCCTCCAGCCCGGGGACCCCTGCAGGCCCCCGAAGCAGCCCAGTTCTCAGAGAGCCCTCGGAAGGGGTCTCAACGGAGCTGTGCACAGCTTGGGACAGGCCTCCTATTCCCAAGCAGAAAGAAACATGCAAAACGGACTCTGCCAGGCAGAGGACAGACAGAAAGAAAGGATGCGGCAGGACTGCCTTCTCCCCACCCCAGCCCGGCCTTCTGGGGAAGGAGCAAAATTCCCAAACAGAGCAACCAGCACAGTTCTGAAGGGGCCTGGACCCCACCCTTACCCTTTCTAGGGAACCCCACTCTCTACTCCAGCCTGAGCTTTCCTGGGGAGCCTGGAGGACCAGCTTGTGAAGATAATGGGGTGTAGGTTGGCGAGCTCTCCCTTCTATACTTGGCCCCCTCCTTCTCTCCCTTCTTGCCTGGGTTCTGGCTCTACCCCTAGCTGCTCCAGACCAGGTGAGAGAGGCCCTCGGGTGGACAGGGGGTACCCCCTGGAGCTACCTGCTGCATCAGCCCAGAATGGAAGGTGTTCTGCCATTCCACCCTGAGCTGTAGGGGCAGTTCCTGAGGCCCCAAACCCCTTTGTACAGTCCACAGGAAAAAGATGGAATGCTCTAACTGATCCCGCCCCAGCTTGGGACAGGCCTCCTATTCCCTCTCTCTGAAGACCAGGAGGGCTGTCCCCTATTCCCGCCAGGAGTGAAGGGAGTCGGGCTCCAGGTCGCCCCTGCGCCCCAGCCCTGCATGCAGGTGCCCTCGCTCCGCCCCACTGGTCCCTGCCCCTGCCCCTCATGCTTACAGCACTGCTGGGGCCAGCCCGAGATGGAGCAGAAAGGGGACCCCTGGAGCCAATCGAGGAGGATGAAGCAGCTTCTGCTGCCCCGTTAAGCTGCCACCTGCGCTTAGGTAGGCGTCCTGCTCACCGACTTTCAGTTCCTTTGGAGGGTGTTGGGTGTTGTCCTTTTCAAAAGTGTTTTGGAGCTTTCTGTCCCCCACCTTTCCCACCACACCCCCCCCATGGCCACTTCTCTCTGGATTTTAGCTGTAATGTCTTTACTCTTTATTTAGGGGTGGGGCAGTCATTGTTTGGGTCTTTGCTGTTGCAATTGGGAACTCCTCCTCTATTTGAGCAACTTGGGAACAATTTGGTAACACACCACAGGAAGTAGCTCCCCCCAAGTCCCCTCCTTCCCCAAAGGATGGTGGGGGCCTGTCCAGAGGATCTTTAGAAGTCCCCCTGGGAGGGAGGGGAGCATGAGCACGCCCAGCCCCCTCCAGGGTGTGACTTGGCCCCTCTGGCTTGTCTTTCTGTGCCTTACTCCCTCCTTCCTGCGTCTCCTCTCCCTGACCCCCTTTTCAAGTCCTTGTGCCTCTCTTTCTCTCTTTCTTAACGGTATGAAAACACAAAGCACAGGTCAGGATCCTCTGAAAGTCAATCAATCCAACATTGCACCAGTAGGGGTGGGTTATGGGCTTTATTTATTGAGAATCTAGTTTGTGAGGCTGTAGCCCTGAGCTGGCGGAAGGAGGGAAGGAGCCGTCCGGGGAGGAAGGAGGGCCATTACCTGGGGTTGCGCGGCTGGCAGGTGGTGCCTGCTCCCCAGGGCGAAGCCGCTAGGTGGCTGGCCCCAGGGGCGGCTTCTGTTGGAAATTGAGCGAAGCCCTCCCCCGCTCTCCTCGGCGTTCCACGCTGAGAGGACCCCAGGGCTGAGGGGCAGGAGATCCCGTGGGAGACTCCCGGGGCGTGAGGAGCAAGGCCCCGGGGTGGGGGGCCGGGCGGGCCGGGCGTGACGCGCGGTCAAAGTGCAATGATTTTTCAGTTCGGTTGGCTAAACAGGGTCAGAGCTAAGAGGAGCGGAAGGGGGGTGGTCCCTGCCCGGCCGCGTGCGCCCTTTCCGTCGAAGACAATCGGGCCGCGGTGTGCTGTGACACTGTGGGAGCCGGGGGTCTGCGGGGCACCCGCCTGGGCGAGGTCGAAAGCTGCAGGCCAGCTGGGCCCGGCGGGGTCGTTTGGGCGGGCAAGGTGCGCTCCTTCCCCAAGTAGTGGTGTGAGGGGCAGGCGAAGGGCAATGAGGGCGAAAGATGTGGGGACGTGTCAGGAGAGGGAAAAAAACCCACAAAAATATATATATGGGGGAAATGAACTTTTTTTCATTGAACCAAGTGCAATGCATCAGAGAGTTTTCCTATCTTTGTATGTTAAGAGATTGTTAAGAAAAAAAATTCTATTTTTGTTGTAATGTCCTCGCGGCTCTGGGGACGCTAAAAGAACTAGGCCTGCCCCGCCCTGCGCGGGGATGACGAAAGCTGAGTGTTTTTCCTTTCCTTTTTTTTCTTCTTTTTCTTTCTTTTTTTTTAAGTCATTTTCCTGCGTTGACGAGGATGATCTGGGGTTTTTATTTGTTTCGTCGTTCGTTCTCGGTTTCGGTGGGAGGGCTGAAGGAAACGTACACATTTTGAAGTTAAAAAAAAAACACCTCGACATGAAAAATCAAAACAAAACCAACACAATATCAAAAAGGAAAAAAGGACGAGAGAAAATTATTTTAAGATAATTAAACATAAAAACCCTGGTGCTTCTTACATTATAAAGTACGTTAAAAAACCCACAAACTATTATACATAAGTTTATGAATCAATTAAATATCCTGCACTTGTTAGGAACACGCATATCCCTTCTTTGTTGAGTTTAACGGAACGGGACAGCGGCGTGCGCCCGGCGGCTGGGCTGCTCTTGCCGCGGATCTCCCCGGGCGTCCCCTCCCTGGGCACTGCGCCCCCTCCTCGCACCATCGCCGTCTGGGCACAGGGGCGCGGCAGGGGGTCCCAAGCCCCTCCCCTGCAGAGGTCAATGCCAACGAACAAATGTTCCTTCCCTCCCTCCCTCTCCGCCCCGAGCGCCCTTCTTCGAGCCAGACGCCAACTTGACCCTCACCAGCATTATCAGGAGCGCGCTCAGCAAGTTGGTAGTTTCCTCCCCGAACCTCTTCCCCGGTGACCCCCACCATCACCACCACTACTACTCAACATCACTCCTCCTCCCCCGGCCCGCTCCGGGGAGCACCCGGAAGGCTCGATGCTCCAGGACAGGACCAGCCACGCTGACAGGTTGATTTGCCCAGACCCGCGCTCGCACGCACGCACGCACACGGCCCCGCACATAGCCCCGCCCCATCCCGCAACCAGCCCTGTCGACTGCCTTACACACCCGCCCCCGCGCTGGCCGGCCGACCTAGTGCCTTGTTCTCACCCCCGTGCTGGCGGAGCGGACGCCGCGCTCTGGGTCCCAGAGGGGCCGGGTGGCTCAGACGACCCACCACTTCCCCACCCCGACCGTGCTGAACGGACCCCCCACACACACACACACACACGAGAGAAAATAAGGAGCAATAAAGTCACGAGAACTTTTGTCCCCCAATCGAGAGCCCGAGGGGCACCCCAGCCCCACCTCTGCTGCCCCCATCCCACCCACCCTTGGGGCGCCCCCTTCACCCCGCAAGCCAGCCTGGGCCAGCCCCGCTTCAGCCCCTCCCGGGAGATCCGTGCGCCCGACCAGCACCAGCATCGCGGACCGCAAAGGCCGCCCGTCCCGTCAAACAAGTTTCTTCTTAGGCTAAGAAACGCAGTATATACGAGTATCTCTATATATAGTACTAATGGATTTGGTGTGCTTCCCCCTTAGCGTCCCCCTCCCTCTGCTCCTCCTTCAGCCTGGTCTCCCCCTCTCTGCCCTCCACCCGCCCCCCGTCTCTGCACTGAGATACATAAGAAACAAGGGTAGTTTACTGTCTGTTTTGTTTTCTGGGTTTTCAGTGTCCTAGCGGAATGCAAGTAGGCAGCCAGCCCGTCTGTTCCCTCTCCGCCCCGCCCCGCCCCGCCCCCGTCACTGCGCTTCTGTTATACCATCTTTGCCTGACTCTCTCCGGCTTCTCCATTGAATGGCTAATGTGTATGTGAAATAAAGAAATAAAGAAAAACAAAAGCAAGAGCTCCAGAGCCTTCGCTAACGCGATCGTGCGGGACCGGGTCGAGTCTGTGGGCTAGGTGCCGGGTGTCTATGCTGCCTGGCTCTTCGGGCGCCAGGTGTGCCGCACAGGCCATCCGAGTCAGTTCTTGAGTCTCCAGGAGGGGGCGCCGTGAGAAGGGGAAGACTCCTCCCTCCCCCACAGCGACCCCAGTACCCCCACAAGTGCAGAGGTGGAGCACCACTTGGGTCCGACGACCGCGCTTCCTGGGTAATCTACAGGGCGGAAAACGTCTGCGGGGCCCCTTGGGATGATGGTCACCCTTCCAGACCCCCAGGATCTCTCCCCTATGGGGACGTCGTGTCTAAGTCCCTCTTTGACAGTTCGCTCGGGAGCCGGCGAAGCGAGACCTTTCCTCCACTGTCCCGGTCTGAGTCTTCGGTGGCACCCACGGCTCAGAGGCGCCGCTGTATGGGGGTCACCGCACCTCGGGACTCACAGCCGCTTGCTCCATTTTGATGGGCCGTACTGCCCCATTGGGGTTGATGTCGGAGTCTGCCAGGGGCGCGGGCTGCGAGCGCGCCGCCACCTCGGCCTTGCGCCCGGACCCCCGGAGGGCGCCATCGTCTGGGCTTCGGCGAGCAGGCCGTTTACGGGGCCCGGGTTGGGCGGGGCCTGCAGCCAGCGCTGCTGCCTGGTCGCGCAGCAGCCGCACCAGGAAGCCGATGTACTTCATGGCCAGGCGGAGCACCTCGTTCTTGCTCAGCTTCCGGTCGGGCGGGTGAGTCGGCAGCAGTTTCCTGAGCTCTGCGAAGGCGCCGTTAACGTTCTGCTGCCGCCAGCGCTCGCGGCTGTTGGTGAACACGCGCCGTGCTACCTTCTGGGGCTGGTGCCCTGCAGATAGGACGGGCGGGGCTACCCTCCAGGCCCAGAGGGCACCCCCTCCCAACCTCACTTAGGGCACAGAACCTTCATGGGATTTACGCCCAGGTGGTGGATTGTGGCACCACCACACAAAAGATCCATGTGTGGGGTCCATGTGTAGCTTCCCCTCTGCCCACGGGCCCCACAGAGAAGGATCCTAAGTCCAGACTGTAGACACCAGGGCACTTCTCTGCACCTTCATACCCATGGCTGAGAGTCCCCAAGGAAACGTTTCCTTGGAGCTGTCACTCTGAGAAACTCCCCCTGCGGCCCACATTCTCAGTGTGCAGCTGGGTGTGCCTATGTTCTGAGAAGTGCTCGCATTGTTGGGGACGGTGGTCCTGTTGGGGTCTCATGTGGCCAGGTGATTCCTGATGGCTGTGCTCATGTGTGACGCTATCATGTGGTGGTGGATGTTTCATGCATAGCTGTGGTTCTGTGGCTGACTCTTGTGTGGTTGTGGTTGTGTGGATATCTCCTCTGTACCTTTGGTCCTGTGGCTCTTTCATGGCTGTATGTCCCAGTGGAGCTGTCATTTTGTGGCTCCTATGCCCCACTGTGGCCAACTTTGTTTTGCTGTGACTGTGCGGCTGTGAGGTGTGGCTGCTCAGTGACAGTGCTCGAGTGGAGTTACCTATGGAACTGTAGCCTTGTACTTGGGTACGACCTGTGTGTGCGCATATGTGTGTGCATTGGAAACACATCTTACTGTGGAAGAGTGTGGTACAGACCTGGGCCCAGGCAGAGAGAGCCACTCACAAGTACACACACACACACACACACACACACACACTCACCCTCAGCCAGGTCCAGCTCACAGTGGCTTGGTCTCCGCTTCAGCCGGCTGCTAGGGAAGATGCTAAAAGGTCCTGCTGGCCCAATGTAGACGCTGTAAGGGTTTGTGGGTCACAAATGCCTTGTGGGCAAGGACCCTGGCCCCCAATATCCAACACCACCCCCAAGCCCCAGCTCCCCACTGACCTGTTGAGGAAGGGGTGAGGGTGGTAATGCAGAGCCAGGGTGGGCGGGGTAGTTCCCAGAGTGGAGAGGTGCAGCAAGGGGGGCCGGAGGGCACTCAGCTCTGTGGTGGGCATGGCTGCCCCTGGGGGCCTGGTATGACCCAAGCTGATCACTGGTACACCAGGGGGCAACCTGGATGGGGAGCCACCTCTGTGGCCCACCTCATCTGAGGGTAGAGGCCCAGGTGAGGCAGGCTTAGTGGGTGGGACAGGGGCTGGGCTGGAAGCACAGACCATCTCGGCCTTCTCAGTCATGGTGGGGCCCACCTCTGCCAGGGCCTGGGGTGGGCACATGGACCCCGAGGAGGGGTGCTCACCTGTGGGAGGGAGGGGAGCCAGTGGGAGGAGGAACAGGTGTGACCTCCCCTCACCTGCTTAGGCTAACAGAACCTTCAAATGGAAAGTAAAGCGGGGAGGAAGGAGGGTGGAAGTTCAGTGGGAAAGACAAGTGAGTGATTCCAGAAACTACCAGGACATCGGAGGGCCTACTCTAAGAGAGGGGTTGTCTACCAGGTGGTAGGCAGCATGGAGCCTGGCAGTGCCTTCTCTGGGCTGTTTGTGAGGGGATGTGCCTCCAATTTCTCCCAGAATTCCCTCTCGCCTAGAGCCTAGAGCTGAGACAAAGCAGAAGCCCCCGACTGACCCTGGGATCTCCTGAAACTCCAAGACTGAAACTGTGACCCTCAGATCTGAAGATCTGATTCTGAGATCCTTCCCTGACTCATTGGTGCCATGTGACCTTGGAGTCCCTCCAAGATCCACTCTCTTTCTCTGGCCTCCCCTTCCCCCCCACACACCCCAAGGCTGGCCCCATGGACTTCAGGTATGGCCCTGAGGTTCTTCACCCTGCCTCCACATTTGACCCTGGAAGCCCTCCATAATTGCTCTGGAACTCTCGCTCCTGCTGAAAATGTTCCCCTTACTAGTCCTGTAATCCCACTATCACAGGGTGATGATGGTGCCTGATGCTGACCCTGGGCCCCACAACACTGTTTCCAGTGCCCACTCCAGCTCAGTCTAGCTCACACCCTCCCTCTGGCTTAGACACCCACCCCCACAGCATCTATACTTTTGCACCCTGCTTTTTTTTTTATTATTTTTCTTTTTTGCAGTGCTAGGAATTAACCCAGGACGTTGCCCATGCTAAGGCCAGTGAGCTGCACTCCCAGCCCTGCACCCTTCAAACATTCCTGTCTGTGGGACCCCAGGGTCTGGGGTATCCCAGCAAGGTGTGGAACTCCTTGCTCCTCTGCCCTGACTTCTCCAGCGGGGGAAGCTGGTCTGGCCCCAAGGTTAGGGAATCCTAGCTGATGAATGAATGAATGAAGAACAAAGGAATGCTGGTGGGGTCCCAGGCAGAGACCCTCCACCTTCAAGCCGGCTCCCTTCTTACCCCGGCGCTGTTCCAGCAGCCTGGTGAGTGCCTGGGCTCTGTCTCCGCAGGACTGGCAGTCCAGGCCAGGATGCGGTTTCCGCTGTCGGGGTTCAGCCAATGCCCTCCAGGGCGCCCCGTCGGCCCAGGAGTTGGGCCGCGCCTCCTACCGGGCTCCCGAAGGCCGCGGCGGCCGGTGGCGGCGTGGGTTCCCCGAGGGAAAGTGAACGGCTCCCGGCCCGGCCCGCCCTCTCCCCGCCCCCGGCGGCCGGGTTTCCTCCCTCTTACCCCCGGCGCAGCGGCCAGAGGATGCTGGGCCAGCTCAGATAAGGGCCAGGCCGCCTGGCCGCGCCTGATAAGGAGCCGGGCTGACCCCGGAGGAAACCGGCGGGCGGGGATCTCCGAGCGCGCGCCTCCCGGCCCCGCCCCCGCCGGCGCGGGCAGCGGTCACCCCTCACCGGCCGGCTTTCCGCTTCCCCAGGCACCCGAGTACCCCGGCCCCAGCGTACAGCCTGGGGGAAGGGCCCGGATGCATACCGAGGGGAAACCGAGGCATGGAAACTTCAGCCTTTGGTGTTGTCTGGATCTGTCCTTTGGCTTTGAACACCCCCTGCCCTAATGGAGTGTCTCTGCTGATAGGGTGGAGGAAGGCCCTTTCCGGCCCACTTGGGCCTCGTGACTGGGGCCCCCTTCTCCCCTCCTAACCCGCCTGGTTGGTTCCTCTTTTTTTTTTTTTTTTTTAACAGATCCCCTCCCAACTTCTCCACCCCCATGACGGGGTGGGGCACCCCAGGATATACAGTTCTGGTGGCCTGGCTTTGAGCTGATGGGCCGAGCAGTGTTCTGGGCTCTGGGGCACACTCCACCCATTTCCAGGTCCAGTTCTTAGGTGATGGGACTGGAGAGGACTTCAGTGGCTGCCCCAATCAGTCCCCACAACCTGGATGTCTGGACTACTTAGTCACCCCGAAGGGTGTGGCCACCTCCTGGCTGGCAGCATCCTGGAATGATGGTTCTGTTCAGGACCAGGCTGAAAGTTCACAAAGGGAGGGGCTCTGGTCACAGCTAAGTAGCACTACAGACCTCTCTTATCCCCTATCCTGCATAAGGATCTGTTCTCTGTCGCCCTATATCTGGTTAACAGCAGGGGTTCCCCAGGCAGGCCCTCCACTGCCACCTACCACCACAGCTACCATCCTCCCCGGAGTCCAGAACCAACTGCCCTCCTGTCCCCCACCCCACCTAGGGGAAACTCAAGTTTTAAGCCCTTGAATTAATTGATGGCCCTACAAGGAAGTTCTAGAATTGGTCTTCCTTTTCAGCTGGGGATGAAGGGTGCACGTGGTGGACAGGAATTTTGCCCCAGGATTCCCCCTAAGGTTACTGAGCCCCTGCCCTCTGGGGAGGGGGATGCAGCTTCCCTTCATTGGGTGTCTGGGCAGCAGCCTGCTTGGCCCCTCTCTTCAAGCACCCTGACTTGGGCCACAGGGCAGGAAGCACCTGGCCTGGAGCGGATGTACAGAGTGCCTGGTTCCGGTCCAGCTTCCGCCGCCACAGCCCCGGGAGAGCTGGGCCAAAAGAAACCAGGCAGCGGGGAGGCGGTGGCAATGGGAGGACACACTGGTTGCACTGGGCCCAGGAGGGCTCCAAGGGAGGGGGGAGGAGCAGAAGTCCCACGGGTGCGAGTGCAAGGCTGCCGCCCTGTGGTCACCTTGGGAATCGCAAGTGGCAGCTCTTGGGGGTGTCTAAGCAACCCTTGTGGCAGAGGGACATACCACACATGGTCAGCTCCTATTCCCAGTCAGGCAGGGGCAGACATCCCCCAGTCAGGCAGATGCACAGCCACCTCAGATAAGGAAAAAGGAGACAGAGGACTAGGACCCAGTCACACTGCTGGATGGATGGGAAGGAGGCCCTCACAGCCCACAGCCAGCCTCCCCACTCAGAATGACAATCAGCAGAAAATGACATGTCTTTATTGGCTCAGTCTACACCTGGCCCAGCAGCGGGCCCCGGATCTAGGGGGGTTCTGGCTGGGGGGGTCTCTAGGCAGTCTGTGGGGGTGGCATCAGCTGAGGCTCCGGGCAGAGGACTGTGTGAGTAGCAGCACTGGTCTCCTCGTTGACAGGTGCCCTGGTGGGAAGAGGGTGACGTGAAGCCCTCTGCAAGCACGTGGCTGGCCCCAGTTGTTTCAGGCCAAGAGGGGTATCCACATGCCCAGAAGTTTTGGGGAGACAGGAGGTACCTCACCTCCTTGAACCTTTTGCAAGGAAACGTCTTTAGGCGAGCAGCGCGCTGGGCCCGATCTTCAGGGGGGTCCTTCCGCTTATTCTGGAGGAGCCTGCATCTCTCCAACACTTCGCTGGCTGCCTTGGCCCTGCAGGTGGACAAGAGTGCTGGGACCCCAGCTGGTGGCTGCCTCCGCCTGGCCCTGGCAGAGCCACAACCCCACTCACCCTGGCCGAGCTCGGGGCCGGGGACCCCAGTTGGCCTCCGGGTTGGCCTGAAAGCGCTTGAGTCCCCGCTGGCGCGAGCTGGGGTTAGCATCCTCCCGAATGGTGAAGTTGGCCTGCAGCCTGGACAATGGGGATAAGGACTGGAGCAGCCACCGCATGGGTGTCCAGGGACCACTGTGGAGCCTGTCCAGCTTGGTGCAGCTTGCCGTGGCTGCCCCTGCCCGGGTTTGTCATTCATTTAATAAACATTTTGCTTTTACTATCAAGTCTGCATGGTTCTCTCTGCTGGGAATAGGCCTGCGTGAGGCAGGGCTGACTGTCTAGCGCAGGAGACGGATGAGCAAGCAACGGGTCAGATCAGAAACAGGTAAACGACGTTGCGTCAGGACATGTGGTGGGCGTTCTGGTAAAAGGCACGGGGAGCCAGGAGGGGTGCGATGCCAGCCCAGGTGGTGGGGTCAAGGCAGGCTTCCCTGGGGAGGCAGGAGGTGAGAGGCAAGCCGTGCAGAGAGCGAGCACAGGCAGAAGCTGGAGATGACCGCCCGGCGAGACTCGGAGTCAACAAGGAGCAGAGAGCACAGAGAAGATGATGGTGGGGGGCTCTTCAAGGTCTGGGGGGGCCACAGATAGGACTCTGGTTTCTCTCGAGTGAAGTGGGAGCCATGGAGGGCTCTGGGCAGAGGAAGGGTGCTCTGCTGCTTCAGACATGCACAGCCCCCGCCCCCCCAGCAGATGGTGATAGCCAGGATGCGGGTGGGTCTGGAGGGCAGAAGCTGAGGGAGGAGCGGGCAGGCTTTGGATTTCGTTGAAAAAGTCCGTGCAGGGAGGGTCTGTCCTCTGCATACAGGGGTCCCCATACCGGACGGTGGGCCGCCCTGTTCCCTCCCGCAGTTCCCATCTGTACCTGGGCTCCACACTGAGGATGCGGAATGCTGGGCTGGTCTCGGACAGTCGCTCCCGTTTCACAGGACACGTTTTCTCCTGAGGGCGGAGGTCAGGGGATGTTGGGCCCAAGGGGCCTTCAGGGCACCCACCAGCACCCGCCCATCCCCACGTGGTCAGCCTGCCCTCACCCACCCAGCAGCGCATTATGTCCCAGAGAGCCGTGGAGGGGGCGTCCGTCTTCACGGCACTCTTACAGGCGTGGGAGAGTGAGACCCGGAAGCCAGCATGGAGGAGGGCCGACCTGGGGACAGCAGGGACTGTGATGGGAGACTGGACTCCTCGCACAGGAGTGGCACACCAGCGACCACAGCAATAAGGCCACGCATGGGCGGCCTGGCGGGCCAGTGTGCTGGAGAACCCTGGCCGCCCCCACCCCACCCTCACCGCAGCTGGAGGAGGCTGGGCGTGTTGCAGTGGATGGTGCTGCTCAGCTGGTCCAGCGTGTAGTACAGGGGCACATCCGGGAGCTCCTGGGGGGGCACAGGAGGGGCTGTGCAGCTGGTGGACAGGACAGGCTCAAGAGGACCTGGGCACAGGTGGGGCCCCCCCACCCGGCACGGCCCACCCCTACCTCAGTGATGACACTCAGGACTCCCCGAATCCGCTCTGAGGTGTGGAAGCGCCCAGGATTGGTGCTCACAGCCTCCAGGACACGGCCCACAAAATCCAGGTTGTGGATGGGCTCTGCCCACAGGGGACCACCAACCTGCAGACACACAGAGAGCAGTGAGCAGGGGCGGCAAGTGGCCACTGGGATTGCTGCACCCCCTCCCTCCGCTGGCTCAGTCCTACCTGGTGTCGCTGCCCACAGTGCTCACACTCGGGGCTCACGGGGGGACCACAGGCTGCAGAGAACTTGACCCTGCAAGGGGCAAGGCAGTTAGGCAGGTGGTGACCCTGGGACACCTTCACCCTCCTGCCCAAGGACCCCTGCTCACCGGCCACCAGAGGCTTCTGCTGCTTTGCCAAGGCGCTGAAGGTGCAAGGCTCCACAGCCCACGCACTGGAAGACCAGCGCCTGCTTGCTGTGGGGTCCAGGGCATGGCCATGAGCTCCCAGTGTGGTCGCCACGCCAACTTCTCCTTCAGACTGGCTCCGTCCCTTTTAGGACCCCCAAGTCCCCAGGACGAGGCCTGATCTCCCCCTCAATCCACCATGCCTCCCCTGCCCTCCGCTGCTGACCTGGCTGAGGCCTTGACTTTGGCCTGGCCCGTGAAGACGCGCACAAACACACGCACGTAGAAGTCTGCACTGATGCTGAGCAGCGGCACCACAAAGCGCTGGTAGCAGTTGGCGCGGAGGTCCAGGCTGTGCAGGACGATCCTCAGGGCCTGGGGGCGGAGGATGGGGTCAGCCCTCCCTTCAGGGTCCCCTCTGCCGCAAGGGGCCACACACAGTGCTCAAAGCACCCGTTCCAGGCTGGTTCCCTAGGTTCCAAACCCAGTCCCAAGTGTCCTGGCTGTGTGACCCGGGGGGCTAGCCAGCAGCACCCCTGGGCTCCGTTTCCTCATCCGCAAAATCACAACCATCCCTGTGTCTTTGTGGCCTTGCTGGAACTAATGAATGAGGAATGGTCATCCTTCTGTTGACCTTGCCAGTGTGCCTCCTTCACTGTGGACTGTGGGCTGAGGACCTAAGTTCTAGCCCCAAGGGCTCTGTGTAGGAAGTGGGGACACTATGTGATGCAGAACTGCCCAGCCTTCTCCTTGCCAGAGGCTGCCATGAGACTCCAACATGGGAAAGGAGGTGGGTGGGCATTTCCCAGACTGACCTGGGAAAAGGGCCTCGAGGACAAGGAGCCCCTGCCTCAACTCCCCACAGCAACCCTCTAGGGTCGGTACCATCGTCATGCTCGTGTAATAGATGCAAAACCAAGGCCCAGAAAGGTGCTGTCAATTGCCCAGCAAACGTCTGAACCAAACCTGGAAAAACAACTCTTTTTTTCCTTAAGCTGAGCACAGTGGCAGGCCCCTGCAATCTCAGCTACTTAAGGCTCAAGTAGGAGGATCACAAGTTGGAGGCCAACATTGCAAGATTCCATCTTTAAAAAAAAGAGGAACAAGTATACAACTGCTATCCACCTACTGCTATCCAGCCCCTTAAAGACCTGTTTACGGTCACTCCCTGGATTAATCTAGCCCTGGCTGCATGGAGGAAGCAGAGCAGGTCTTAGGTGTAGGAAGGTATGCTGGTTAGGGGTGCCTGGTGCCTACCCTCCCTGGAGGGCTGGGAGCACCCCTCACCATCTCATGGCAGGCCCGGCTCTTGAGGGCCATAGCCCCGTACTTGCTGTAGCATGTCTCCCCGCTGTTCCCGGCCAGCACTGCCATGTCCGTGCAGGTGACACACAGCAACCCTTTGGGGAAGAACTGGGTAGTGAGGCCCTCTGGACCCCCCCCAGCCCTGCTCCAACCCCCACATCAGCCCAGCCTCACCTCCTTCGCTCACAGCCTGCACAGCTGCATCCAGGAAGGGGGCGGGGCTGCCATAGGGGTCCAGGTCAATGACATCGAACCGCTCTGATACCTTCTGGTGCTGGTACATCAGCATCCTAGGCAAAAAAGGTCCAGGTCCTCAGCCTCTCCCAGCAGGTACCCCAGCTCTGTCCCTTACAAGCATGAACTCCAGCAGGGTAGTGGTTCTGGCCTTGAACTCAGGGGCCAGCTCCCCAGGTGCAGGTCCTATCTTGGGCATTTGTTAACAGCATGGTTTTCCCCCTTAGACAGGCCCCAGCTGAGCTGTCTAAAATCTTGGTAACAGCCAATACCAAGATGTGACTTAGAGCTGGCCCTCTGAATCCACGAGAAACCAGGCTAGAAGCCCCCCAGGCGGCAGTGAGGCAGCTCGTGCAGAGGTCACAAGTTCTACTGTGTTTACTAACCCACTGTTGGCACCAGAGCAGCGCCTGGCACACAGCAGACACTGGATATGCCACGGTTCATTTGAACAAATAAAAGGAGCACAAGGGCTGGGGCTGTAGCTCAGTGGAAGAATGCCTGCCTAGCATGTGCGAGGCACTGGGTTCGATTCTCAGCACCACATACAAATAAATAAAGGTCCACCAACAGCTGAACATATATACACACACACACACACACACACATATAAAAAGGGGGGTCAAGGAGTCTAAAATGGAGACCACACAGCATAGCCACATGCCACATAGAGATTTCAGCCAATGACACTGCGTATTACCTACTGATATTATAGCTGTCTTAGTCTGTGTAAGTATACCCTCATGTTCCCACAACAAAAATTGACTACTGACACATTTCCTAGAACATGTATCCAATGTGAAGCAACATGTGACTACACTTACTTTTGGCAGAGTTTGGACCAAACATTCTTTTTTTTTTTTTAATATTTATTTTTTAGTTTTAGGTGGACACAATATCTTTATTTTATTTTTTAATGTTTTAGTTCTAGATGGACACAGTACCTTTATTTATTTATCTTTCTGTGGTGCTGAGGCTCAAACCCAGGGCTTCACATGAACTAGGATTTGTTCTAGTTCTACCACTTGAGCCACAGCCCCAGCCCTCCAAACATTCTTCTCTATTACTTGAACATTACCACAATCTGTGTAAAACAACTGTTCTCTGGCACACAAGAAAAGTAGGGTTCAAATAGACTCAGTCAATCTCCCAAGGTCATGTGTCAAGACTGTGACAGGGCCAGGATTTGGCCCCAGACAGTCTCTCTCTACAGTGTACCTTACAGTCACAGGGCAGAGTCACCCAGAACCTACCGGGCATCTGCCTGGTTGGGTTGTACCAGATGGGCCACACCATTGAGCTGCACATTATGGCGCATGAGGTCCACAGCCCGGGCGGAGGCATCATTGGCAACCACAGATCGGAGCCCAGGCACCTCCAGGGCAAATCGAATGGAACGCAGGCCTGAAGCTGCCAGGCCCTCCAGGACACGCAGGCCTTCCTGTTGGAGGAAGCAAGGACCCTGTTCCATCTATATCTCCTTCCTCTTCTGGGCCCCAGAGATTCCCCACCACCCCAACCCTTCCCCCTCCAAGAGCTCTCCTTCCCCTACTACCCACTAGATTCCAAGCCTGCACCTCCTCTGCTTAGGTCTTACCTCACAGATCTCCCCAACGACAGCTATTTGAGGTTGATCTCCTGGGGCCAGGTTTTCACCATCTTTCGAGTCAACCTTTTCCTCCTCTTGCTCGGACAAGTCCACAACCACCTTTTGCAGGTCCTTCTCACCTGGCACCTTGACTACAGTCACCCAAAGACACAAATCAGGGGATATCAATGACCCTCTGAGACCCCCATAAACTTCAGAATACTTTAGATTCACAGATGAAAATCTTTCTGAAAACCCCAGGGGAAAGGCTGACAGAGCAGAGGGCCTTTCTGGAGTCTTGGGGGAGAAGGGGATGATACAGGGAGAGAGCTCTGTGTGATTGCCTGGCCCACTGGGAGCCTGGACCTCCACTCACTCTGGATTCCTTTGGTCCCAAGCTGAATGCGAGCAAACTCGGTGATCACAGCACACCTGGTGGGAGATGAGATGGAAGGTCAACTGGTACCTCTTGACAGGGGCACTCCTTTGGAGTGGTCCTTGGTAGTGTCATTCCCTTTGCCCTTCAGCAAGAATGTAGTACCACCCTAATCCTTTTAGGTCACCTCCCATTTGTCCAGCATTTTAAATTCTAAAGAGAAGCCCCACCTAAATAGTTAAGATGTTAATTGTTAAATCTTTCTTTAGATTTACAGAACCCAGGACATCTCAAGACCTTCACAACACCTTTATTTCAACTAACACAAAACATGTAAATTACTGTGAGGTTTAACTTGCAGAAAATGTCTAAGATCTACAGGAACTAGCCCCAGGAGATTAAGGTCAAATGCATGTTCCAGATTAGAAAAAAAGGAGACACATGCTCAGGATGACAAAGACCCTACTCAGCAAGTAGCTTTCCGGCTTTGCTCCTCCTTCCCTTCCTTGTAAAAGTCCTCTATGACCCTGAGCCCCTCAAGATGGAGCTTTGAGGTTGAGCTCATTCATCTTCTGAGATGCCAACCCTCGAATGAACCCGAAACCTTACTACTAACTCTTCTCTCCTATTGATTGGTCTTCGAGCAGCTGGCAGCCAACTTATTCCGGTAACACCCTCAGCCTCACTGACCTATTTCCCTCTCCTAGGCTGACCCCTGACCCTTGCTCACGTCAGGTCGCGGTTGAACTCCTGCACCGGGTTGTAGAAGACCTCGTTGGAGCTGGGGAAAACGATCTTGGCGGCCCCCTCGGTGACTGTAGTCTCCTGGGCCGTGGGTGGGCGCTCTTCTCTGCAGGGCCCAGTACCGTTCTCCATTGCTACAGGATTCGGGGGCTTTGGGGGCTGCCACTCCACAAAATGAGCTCTACAAAGGCTGCGGGTGGAGCGGAGAGTGAGGCTCAGCCACAGAACAATTCTCGCATGGGTCATCCACGGTCGCTTCTGCCCACCAAACCTAGTTCGGGGACCGGGGAAGGCATAGAGGGAGGGTCAGAGAGCTGCATCCGGGGCCAGGAGTGGCCTACACAGTAGGGACTAAGTAAACCCAGTGGCTTCAGTAAACTGACACCCTCCGTTTCCAGAGACATTAGCCCCTGCAGAGCTTAAAGCTCTCAGGTGAACCCGCCCCAAGTCTAGATCGCTCCCGGCATCATCTAAGTTCTTCTCACTTCTTCAGGCATAGAGAGCTGAACAGTCTGGATGCACGTTTCCCGAATTAGGATCTGGGAGCCGCCATATTGGCATAGTGTGGGAGGGGCTGGTCACATGACCAGGGCTAACCAGTCAGTGACAACACTCACGGTGGGCGAATAGGATCAAAATTTATCGCGGCAAGAAAGTTCGCTGAATGTGCTGCGCAGGTAGTCTTAAAGCACAAAAGCTCCCCGGGAAGGAAACGCATCACATCTGTTTAGTCAAACTGAAGATATTGTGGTTTGGAAAGGGAGAAGTAAACAGAAACTCCACACCTACTGATCGCGTCCTGTGTGCTGGGTGCAGTATACAAATTATTTCAGAGCATCTTGAAGGAATAATTCAGGCTCTGGGATCGGATTTACTGAGTTTGAATTCCAGCCCCCTCACATACTGAGTAGGTTAATTAACTCTCGGGTCCTCACTTTCCTTACATGTTAAAGCAGAATCTTGGCTTCCAAGTAAGAGCAAAGTAAAACGACAGAATTCCTGGAAAGTGTGCAAAGCAGCCGCTCACACATAATAAGCCCTCTATAGGTTCTAACGGGTCCCAAAAATTGAGAGTAGCGGACCCGGCTACCTGGGTCCCAGTCTTACTTCATCGTGTTGGTAATTCTTAACTCTGCTTTTAAGTTTCCCTATTCGTAAAACGGGCAGAACGTTTCAGTTTTCGTTATGGGCTGTGGTGGAAATTAAATGAGTTAGTACAGGCAAAATGCTAACGGAGGCTGACATCACTTAAGCATCATAAAAAGTTTTTAATTCTTTTAGTTCTTATTCGACAATAAGATTTAAATGTTGGCACACGGAATCACTTCCTTGCTGTGTGATCTTGAGCATGTTTCCTCGTATCTCTGCAACTAGCTAATTACAAAAAAAAAAAAGAGAGAGAGAGAGAGAGAGAGCCTAAAACAGTGCCTGGCACAATAAATAGCAGTCATTATTTTCATTTTACAGGAGGCTAAAGTTCGGAAAGGCGGTGACGTGTCCCAAGGTCGTGGGACTAGAAGATGGTGGGATCGGAATTCGAATTAGTTACTCTGCAGAACCGAGGTACTAGCGAGGATCCAGAGGGGACAGAAGGAGAAGCCGGTAGGAGCGGGAGGGAGGGGTGGGCTCGGAGCTCGGCTGGCCTGGCCTAGGAGGCGGGGCCTGGGGGAGGTGCACAGGCGGGGCCGAGGCCGTTTCACCGGCC